AAGCAGTAGGGGAAGGGCACGCAGTAACAGTGGTGCTGTGCTCACCAGGCAGGGCAGGTCGGGCGGCTCGGCAGTAGGGCGGCCCGGCGGCTGGGCGGCTCAGCGGCTCGGCTGCTGGGCGGCTCGGCTCCCGGGCGGCTCGGCGGCAGGGCGGCTCGGCGGCAGGGCGGCTCGGCGGCAGGGCGGCTCGGCGGCTCGGCTCCCGGGCGGCTCGGCGGCTCGGCTCCCGGGCGGCTCGGCGGCAGGGCGGCTCGGCGGCAGGGCGGCTCGGCTCCCGGGCGGCTCGGCTGCTGGGCGGCTCGGCGGCAGGGCGGCTCGGCGGTCGTAGGCGGCGGGGCCGGTGAGGATAGGCGGCGGGGCCGGTACCGTAGGCGGCGGGGCCGCGAAGTGGGGCGGCGGGGCCGCGTAGGTGAGGGCGGCGGGGCCGCAAAGTGAGGGCGGCGGGGCCGCGACGTGAGGGCGGCGGGGCCGCGAAGGTGAGGGCGGCAGGGCCGCGTAGGCAAGGGCGGCGAGGCCGCGACGTGAGGGCGGCGGGGCCGCGACGTGAGGGCGGCGGGGCCGCGTAGGTGAGGGCGGCGGGGCCGCGTAGGCAAGGGCGGTGGGGCCGCGACGTGAGGGCGGCGGGGCCGCGACGTGAGGGCGGCGGGGCCGCGACTTATGGGCGGCGGGGCCGCGTAGGTGAGGGCGGCGGGGCCGCGACGTGAGGGCGGCGGGGCCGCGACTTAAGGGCGGCGGGGCCGCGTAGGTGAGGGCGGCGGGGCCGCGACGTGAGGGCGGCTGGGCCGCGACGTAAGGGCGGCGGGCTCGCGTAGGTAAGGGCGGCGCAACGGGCCGCTAGGGGCGACACGGAGGGTCGCTAAAAAAAAAAGGAAAGCGCGCCTCGGGGCGCGCTTCGGTGGGCCCTAGAAACAGTCCCTAGGAGGGGACCTGCTCTGATTCCATGTGGGAAGGAGAACGCGAATGAATGAACTATGAATGAAGTGAGTACATATAGGAAACCCTAATTGGGTTGTACCCCCTATGGGATACCCCACTATAGCCTACACAACAGCATAAGCTATATAATGTTCTGACAGGGGGGAGAAAGAGCATGCTGCCTTCTCTACCCTGAAAAACGTCCTCTGTTCACCGCCCGTACTGCGCATTGCCGACCCACACCGCCCATTCGAAGTGGTTACCGACGCAAGCGACATCGCCATTGGAGCCGTACTGCTACAAGATTTCGGCAACGGTTTACAGCCCATCGCATACGAGTCACGAAAACTGCATTCGCCCGAGAAGAATTACCCGATACACGATCGCGAAATGCTTGCGATCGTGCATGCATTCAAAGTGTGGCGCTGTTACTTGACTGGCGCCGACGTGACAGTACGGACAGACCATAAATCACTACAGTACCTCCGCGCACAACCCCACCTCAACCCACGACAAATTCGCAGGCTCGACTACCTCGAGCCAAATTTTCAATACAAGGTCACCTACAAAAAGGGGGCATCGAACATCGTCGACGAGTTAACCCGGCCCACAGCCCAACTCCACGCCATACTACTCGCCCAGACCAGCCCACTCCTGACGGGCCTAATTACCCACAGTTATCAAACGGACCCATTTTTCACGGGCGGAAATTCGCAGTAGTTTGCAGCGGCAAGAGCAGTCTATTACGTAAAAGCCGGCACCGATCGAATCTAGGTACCAGACTACACACTTCTACGGGAATTGCTGTTACAAGAGGCACACGACGGAGTCACCTCAGGCCATTTCAGAGTAAAGAAAACACGGCAGGAGCTGCAGCGGTATTATTACTGGCCCGAAATGCTGACCGACGTGCAGCGACACGTGGCATCGTGTCCCACCTGCCAACTCATGAAATCATCATGGAAGCGACCGGCAGGGCAGTTGCAGCCGATACCACCCCCAGAGCGTGCTTGGCAGCAGGTGACGATGGACTTCGTCACGGGGTTACCGGCCGGAGCAAGTGGGAACGACGCGATCCTGGTCGTCGTCGATCGGCTGACGAAAATGGCACATTTCGCAGGCTGCAAAAAATCAATCACAGCCGAAGAAACGGCCCGCCTCTTCATCTCAACCATCGTTCGATTACACGGGATACCAGCGGCAATCATCAGCGACCGCGATACGAATTTTACCAGCAATTTCTGGCGGAATCTGTGGCAGCAGTTCGGCACGAGACTGCAGTTCAGTTCTTCGTACCACCCCGAGACCGACGGACAGACAGAACGGACAAATCAGACCATGGAACAGTTAATCCGAGCCACGTGCGACGACCCTGTTAAGATTAGGAGATTATGCAGTACTTAGGTTTAGGAGAGGTTTAGCAAGGAGAATCATGGAGGGAGAAGTTTGGCCAAAAGAGAGGCTTTCATTATGAAGTTGGGAGTACAAATAGGAAGGAGAGGAAGGGGAAAAGGGTACACCACCAGCAGTTGAACCTAATATCTAACTAATACACTAGCAAGCTGTAGGCAGTTATAACAGGATATGCAAATATAATTCAACACACCCCCGTAATTGCCTACGGCTATAGCTAGTGGTGTCTGGCACCAGGTCGCCTGGAGAGCGGTTGCTGTAGCTGGGATAGGCACAGAAACAGCGGTGGCTGACCGGCAGCACCTGTGAATGCCAGGACGGAGGAGGGCGCGGAGAGCGCGGAGGAGGGCTGGGATAGCCGGAGGGCGAAGGATGCCGGTCGCTCGCCATCTACGAGCAAACACAACTGTTGGTGAGGAGGAGGAAGCTGGTGGTGGTGCACAGGAGGAGAGCAGAGGAGAGGCGGCTGGAGGAGAGGAGAGAGGAGGAGGAGATGCGGCTGTAGGAGAGGAGAGTGGAGGAGGAGATGCGGCTGGAGGAGAGGAGAGGAGAGAGGAGGAGGAGATGCGGCTGGAGGAGAAGAGGAGAGGAGAGGAGAGGAGAGGAGAGGAGAGGAGGTGGCTGGCGCGGCAGAAGCTCTCCCGCCACCCCCTCATCCCCCTCCCCCCCATGCGCTGGCGCTGGCGGAAGTGCTGGCGCTGGGCGCTGGCGTCGCGCTGGCGCTGGCGCCCGCCCTTGGCGCTGGCGCTGGCGCCCGCCGTCGGCGCTGGCGTCCGCGCTGGCGCTGGCGACCGCCGTTGGCGCTGGCGCTGGCGCCCGCCGTTGGCGCTGGCGCTGGCGCCCGCCGTTGGCGCTTGCGCTGGCGCCCGCCGTCGCCTCGCTGGCACGCTCGCCACTGGCAGAGCGCGACGGGGCAGGCGAAAGGGGGCAGCGCGACGGGTGCTGCAAAAGCAGCGGATTTCGAGCCAGCAGCGGATTTCGCGCTACTAGCAGTAACAGCCATGCCAGCAGCACAATAAGTCGCCATGGCAGATCGCGGGTTTGGTGGGCCCATGAAAAACGAGGTCCTAGGAGGGACCACTCTCTGATATCATGTTAAGATTAGGAGATTATGCAGTACTTAGGTTTAGGAGAGGTTTAGCAAGGAGAATCATGGAGGGAGAAGTTTGGCCAAAAGAGAGGCTTTCATTATGAAGTTGGGAGTACAAATAGGAAGGAGAGGAAGGGGAAAAGGGTACACCACCAGCAGTTGAACCTAATATGTAACTAATACACTAGCAAGCTGTAGGCAGTTATAACAGGATATGCAAATATAATTCAACAGACCCAACCACCTGGGAACAGCAACTGCCACTCATCGAATTCGCGTACAACAACTCGCCATCCGCCACGACCCAATAGTCATCGTTTTATCTGAACTACGGACAAGACCCTATAGTAACCATGACCCCGAATCCCGACAACCCAGTACCACGGGCGCAACAATTCGCAGAAATATTACAGGCAGCACGAACCAGGGCAGCTGAGGCAATCAAAAAGGCCAACGTCATCGCTAAGCGCAACGCCGACCGCCAACGCAGACCCGTCACTTACCGTACCAGCTCGACGACTTAGTTTTACTCGACACTCAAAACCTCCGCCTGCCCATCACCCCAAAACTCCGCCCCCGATATTGCCGGCCATTTCGCATCAGCCACATGATCACACCTGTCACCGCCCACCTCCTCCTCCCTGCTGACTGGTACGTCAGCCCATCCTTCCACGTCAGCCTGCTTCGCCCCTACATCCCATCCACCAGCCAACTGGCCCGAAATCGCCCGGCCAGCATGACACGACCACCGACAGTACCAGTCATCACGTCCGAGAATATTCTGAGCCACAGAGTTCGTGACCCACGAGGAGCTCAAAGGGTCGAATTCCTGATCCGCTAGAGAGACCGCACGCCCACCGAGGACAATTGGGTTCCCCTGGACAGAATCGAAAACCACCCTGTCCTCACCGAGTATCTGCGCAGCCGGAATTTCCGGGATGTACATGCGCTTTCGTAAGAAAGGCCTCCTTAGGGGGGAGGTAGTGTAAGGAAAATCCCTTTTCCTTACTTCGCGTCCCTGCTTAGCGCGTACACCACTGTTCCCGCCAACAGCACCCCACAATAATCCGTTACCATACCACTCGCGACATTCGCCTCGACCCCATTCCCGCCACTGTTCACGATGCGACCCAACCTTACGGTTCGGTTGGTAACCCGCGCTCCGGACCTCCGCCTCGACATTCCCCAACCTCGGCACCAGGCCCGTCGCGCACCCCACTTTCCCACACGTTACCGTTACCACTGTAGCTTCGCTATATATTCTTCGCTCAATCCTTCGCTCATTGTATTCTTGCCTCGATAGTGCAAACCTCGCTCGCTCACTCAAATTGCACTCGTAACACCAACCCAAAAAACCCTAGACGCGAGAAGGGATTTAGTTGCATTAAATATTAAAAGACACTGCAGAGCATTTTCATATATGCAAAAAACGTACCGGCGTATCACAATTTCTGACTGCACTAAGTCCGGCCCAACAAACGGCATATCCTAACAGCGTGCACACATGCTGCTTTTACTATGTTTGGCTCCATAACTATGTACACGCCACAGATGCATGCATGCATGCATGCACGCACCAACACTACAGGGACAGGACAGTCGCAGTCTTGACCCTTCCCAGAATCGCTTCCTGCATCATCTCCCCATCGTCCTCCATGTCTGCACCATCCACATCATCGTCACCACCACCCTCGTCAGCATCTGCATCATCCACGCCAGCACAACCAATTCGATCGTCCATGTCATCCATATCAGAAACCCCTGTATTTTCCTCGTCACCCCATGTCCCTGATTCTACCCTCTCCACTCCTTCCTCCTCTTCCCACTCTCCATCCCCTCCCATCCCATCTTGTTCTCCCCTCCACCCTTTCTCTCCCTCATCCCCATCCCATTCACCCTCCAATTTTGTGTTCTTCATCCCACGCTCCTCTTCACTCTCCCTACCAACCCTCTGCCTCCCTTCTCCTCTCCCCTTGATCGCTCCTCCCTTCCAAACCAGAGGAACAGAAGTCCACGTTGGCCCTCCTGCTGCCATCACCCCAAGCCTTCCTGCAACTCTATCCATGCCTCCCGCCGAACCTCCTGCCGAACCTCCTCCCGAGCCTCCGCCCGAGCCTCCGCCCGAACCTGCAAGGTCGCAGCATAGTGCATCCGAAGCTGGAAGGAGGGTACCGTCGGAGTTTTGGAGGTACCCTCCAAAGAGGAAGATTCGATTTTTTAGAATGGTGTGTTCAAAGTGAATGCGAGGCAGCAGCGGGTGGAGAGGGAAGAGCGGAGCAGGAGCAGCAGCAGGAGCAGCAGGAACAGGAGCAAGAGCAGGAGCAGGAGGAAGAGGAGGGATGCGAGGACGCTGGTGCAGCTGCTGCTGCTGCTGCAGTCGGTGCTGTTGATGCTGCTGGTGCCTCCGCTGCTGCTGGTTCTGGCCTTGTCCCTGCTGCAGCTGTCCCTGCTGCTGGTGCTGCTGTTGCTGCTGCAGGGTTGCCAGCCCAAGGTGGTTACGAGTGGGGTGTGAGGCATAGGTAGGAGGCACCTGCAACAGCCATCCCATAACCACACAGCAACCACACAGCAATCAGGGGCAACCACACAGCAATCAGGGGCAACCACACAGCAATCAGGGGCAACCACACAGCAATCAGGGGCAACCACACAGCAATCAGGGGCAACCACACAGCAATCAGGGGCAACCACACAGCAATCAGGGGCAACCACACAGCAATCAGGGGCAACCACAGAGCAATCAGGGGCAACCACACAGCAATCAGGGGCAACCACACAGCAATCAGGGGCAACCACACAGCAATCAGGGGCAACCACAGAGCAATCAGGGGCAACCACATAGCAATCAGGGGCAACCACACAGCAATCAGGGGCAACCACACAGCAATCAGGGGCAACCACACAGCAATCACACAGCAACCACACAGCAACCACACAGCAACCACACAGCAATCAGGGGCAACCACACAGCAATCAGGGGCAACCACACAGCAATCAGGGGCAACCACACAGCAATCAGGGGCAACCACACAGCAATCAGGGGCAACCACACAGCAATCAGGGGCAACCACACAGCAATCAGGGGCAACCACACAGCAATCAGGGGCAACCACACAGCAATCAGGGGCAACCACACAGCAATCAGGGGCAACCACACAGCAATCAGGGGCAACCTCACAGCAAACAGGGGCACACAGTCCAGATAAGTTGATTGGGTCAGAAAGGTGAAAGAACGATGGTGAGGGGCGGGGAGGGGAAGTGGTAACGCGATGGAACAAGCAGTGGCAAGCAGGAAAGAGAGAGGTGATGAAATTGCTGCGGAAAAACTCTCACCTTGCGACCTCTTGCCATCCGCTCACCTGTAACACCTTCCTCCCTTAGGTAACCGCGTCATAGACATGTAAGCAGCCCTCCCGGCGCCACACCAGGAAGCGAGGCACACACCCCACGCCCCACCGCGCTGCTGCATGCTCCAGCAGCCACGTCTCGGGGTGAAGCCCCTCGCCCGGGGGAAGAGAGACCCATTGGTGTGAGGCAGGGTCGTACATGCACACTAGGTACGGCGAGCGGGCGGAGGAGGGGCCGGGGGTGCCTGTGGTGGTGCTTGTGTTTGGGATGGTGTTGTTGGGGGTCCAGACGCCGCGAGCATCAGCAGCAGCAGGAGGAGGAGGAGCAGCAGGAGGGTTCAGAGCAGCCGCAGCAACAGCAGCTGCAGCAAGAGAGGTGTTCCTGTGGGTGAAAGCTGCAGTCTCAAAATTAGCAGCATTAGCGGCACCAGCTCTGGTACCACCCAGGTCAAGCCCACCACCAACACCACCACGCAGCAGCAGAGGCTCACCAGCAGCATCGGCAACCGAAACCCTAAACTGGTTCCTCCCAAGCAGAAACAGCCTCCCTGCCAGCACCACGCCACTACACTCATAACACGCCATTGGCATTTCCGGAACTCTCTCCCACACATCTGCCTTCAGATCGTACATTTCGACAGAAGAGAGGGGTTCGCACGCTCTCCCTCTCTCCCACAGCCGCCCTCCTGCTACAATCACCTTGCCTTTAATCACTCCGAACGCGAACCCCACCCGGCCCTGGTACATAGGCGCGGCACGCACCCACGCATCCCGGACCGGGCTGTACCTCCAGACCTGGACCTCACGTTCGGCAAGCTCAGGGTCGGGAAAAGAAGCTCCAGGGTCGGCAGTACTAGCAGTACCACCAGCAGCAGCGGCACCGTCAATTGCAGCAACAGCAGCCGCTGCTGCTGCGGCCATAGAGGCTCGGTCTGGGGCTGCATCTGAGCCTCGGGTCCAGACCCGGTGCCGAGCCTTTGCCGAACCTCGGACGGCAAAGAGGAGGAGTTCCGAGCCTAAGGCTTGGAGGCGGCAGTCCCAAAGCGTGCTTGTTTCAGTAGGGTTGGCGAGTTGGGAAGGCAGGGGGGAAAGAGGATAGAGGGAGTTGGAGGGAGGGTGAAAGCCCACCAAGCGAAGGCAAGAGGGAGAGGAAGGAGAGGAGGAGGAAGAAGAGGAGGGGGAGGAGGAGGAGGAGGAGGAGGAGGTAGAGGAGGAAGAGGAGGATAAGCAATCTGGCAGGGATGAAGACGGCGAGAGAGTGGTGGGCTGAGTTGCCCTGGAATACGCTCCAGTTGAGCCTGTGTTGTTACGGCTCCTTGTGCTGCCTGTGCTAGCTGCCTCTGTGCTCGTTGCTGGTGTGGCAGAACGAACAGCCGGGCCACTCCTGCTTGTGCGGCGCGAGCTGGAGGAGAGGGGCGGTTTCTTTATGCTTGATCTCGCTGCTGCTGAACTTTTGCTTGCACCTGCTGCTGATGCTGCTGCTGCACCTGCTGATGCCGATGAGAAAACAGCAGATGAGGCTCGTGGGATGGAGGAGGTATTTCGAGGAAGGTGAGGCGCGGAGGGAGCGGAGGAGGTGGAGTGAGAGGAGGAGGTAGATGGATGGGAGGAGGTAGATGGATGGGAGGAGGTAGATGGATGGGAGGAGGTAGATGGATGGGAGGAGGTAGATGGATGGGAGGAGGTGGAAGGGGAGGAGGAGGGAGGTACTCCAAGGTCGGAGATGGAGAGCGTGGGGAGGGAAAAGCGCGTGTTGAGGGAAAACTGCAGGCCCCTACCTGTTGACACAGGTGGAGAATCTGTTGACACTGATCCCTTGCCCTTGCCCTTGCCCTTACCCTTTTCCTCCCTGCTCCATCCCCATCCACCCTCTCTTATCAGACCACTCACTCTCTCACTGCTCTCAACCGCTTCCTTTCCCTTCCCTCCTCGCTCCCCCATCCGCCCCTCACCCCCCCCCCTGCTGCTGCTGCTGCTGCTGCTGCTGCTGCTGCTGCTGCCCGTTCCACTCCCTCCTATCTCATCCCTGTTAGCGCTTCTGCTTCTGCTCCTGCCTACGCCACACTCCTCCCCTCTTCCCTTGCTTTTCCCTGTACCGCCCCAATTGCTTCTGCTTCTCCCCTCCTCTCCCCCCCTGCTTAGACCACTGGTGCTACCACTGCTGCTTCTGACGCAGCTGCCACGTGGATTCCTATCGCCCACTGATCCGCCACCTGCCACCCTGCTTCGACTAGCAGTAGCCATGCTGCTACTGTTATCACTCCACCTACTAACTCTGCTGATTATTCCGCTGCTGCTTCTTTCCCTCCTGTTGCTGCTGCCGAAGCTGTTTCTTTCCCTCCTCTCCTCACTTCGCCCTCTGCTCTCTCTACCTGTCTCCCTCTCCGCCATAGCCCTCCCCCTTCCTTCCCCACTCCCCCTCCTCCCCTCCGCCCCACTCCTCCCCCTTCCCTCCACACTCCCATCACCAGCACCAACCCCATCGTCCCCATTCCAAGGCACAACCATAAACACCCACTCATCGAACCTCTTGCTCCTCTTCCTCAGCTCCCGAACCTCCTCCCCAGCCAGATCTCGCTCCCAGGCTCGGCAAACAGACCGGCCCGATGCAAGGTTCAGCCATGGAAGTCGGGAAAGGATGTCCAACCCAACATCATCGGGCAGGTTCGCAAACAGGCCCGGGACAGCCTCGGCCTCAGGACCGGGAGAATCCTGGCCGAGGAACTTCACTCCAGGTTCAAGTCCAAGTTCGGACTTAGGTCCGGGTCCAGGTTCGGTTCCAGGTTCGGCATGTGGTTCGGGTTGAGCCTGCTGCTGATGGTGAAACTCAGCTTTAGGTTCGGGTTCGAGTTCGGTAAGCGTCGCTCCATGGTTGGTTTGCCCTGTTGACCCATCCATGGCATCATCATTATCATCCATGGCATCATCATTATCATCCATGGCAGGACCCTTGCCAGGTGGTATACACCCTGCATGTGGTGGGATCCGTGGTGGTATCCGTGGTGGGGTCTATGTGGTATGCCACCACCTTGCATGGCGTCAACACCCATAGCATCACCTCTCACAGCATCAACTCCCGAGCCGTCCTTGCCCTCATGCTGCTGCTCATCATTCCGCATGGCATCATAGGAAACGGTATCAAGACCACTAGCTTCATGGCCCCTGCTGTGACTCACACCATCTTCTGTCCAATGCACCCCCACATCCCCCTCCCCCCCGAGAAACGGCCATGGCACCACAGCAGGCAGGCACACTCGCGCACACGCCCCTTTACATGCCACAGCTGAAGCTGACTCAATGCACATGACAGGTTGAATGGAAGCAGAGTCGATGGCACCAGACTTGTGAACTTCCCCAAGCCCGATGGAAGGAAGGTTCCCAGCAGCTGCCAGGCATGGCCAGTGTATGGCGCTGCTGGTGGCGTCGGCAGCAGCGGCAGCAGTGGCAGCAGGAGCAGGAGCAGCAGCAGCAGCAGCAGCAGCAGCAGCAGCAGCAGCAGCAGCAGCAGCAGCAGCAGCAGAATGGTGCATGCTGTTATGTCCTGATTGAAAGCTGTTGGATCTTTCACTGCTGCAATCCCCACCCTCCGCTGCACTGCCACTCCCAACAAGACCGTCAATTTCACCATCGTAATTGCTGACATCAGCATCAGCATCAGCACCATCATCAGCACCATCACCACAGCCAGCACCATCATCATTACCATCCTGATCACTGTCATCCACGTCAGCATCCGCATCATAGAACAGTGCATTGTCATCCTCGTCATCACCATTTTCTGCTGACGCATCATTAGTCTCTGCCACGTCAGCAGCAGCCACGACATCACCATGCACGTCACTGCCAATGCTGTAATACCTGCTGCTGCCAATACTCAATCCTCTGCTCCTCCTGCTCTCGCCTCCTTCCCTCCTCGCCCTGCTGCTGCTCCTCCTCCTCCCACCAGGAGCCGAGTTACCGTCTGCAATACTGGTGCTCCTGGTGTTGGCACTGCGAACGACGTTACTGTTTGTCGTAGTGCTGCTGATGTTGCTGCTGCTAGTAGAAACAGCCTCACGGTCACATCCGTTATTATCACCGCCTTCTGCAGACTCATCCAGACCCTTCCCACCCGCTATAGGCACAACCCTCCTCGCCCTCCTCCTGCCACCACCCTGGCCACACACACCCAGCAACCGCACCCTCCTTATAATCCCACCTCGCTGCTTCTCACAACCATCACCATCACATTCTTTGCCTTTACCCTTGCGTCTGTCATTGCCTTTGCCCTGACTCCTATCACAAATCCCATCTGGGGTGTTTTGCTCGTCTACCCTCGGGGGACTTTCACAATAAACACCACGTGACTGGCTCCTGCTGTCGTGAATGCCTTTCTTTGCCAAAGTAGCAAACGATCTCCTGCTTCTGCTGCCGCCCGCTCTCTTGCTGCACAGCCAGCAAGAAGGATCGCTGGGAGAGGTTGCTGCTGCTGTTGACGATGATGCTGACGTGGATGATGTTGTTGCTGACGTGGAAGATACTGCATCTGACGTGGCTGATGCTGTTGCTGACGTGGACGGCAGCTGGGACGAGCGGCGGGAGGAGAGAGGGGAGGAGAGGAGCAGAGGGAGGAGGATTGATCTCACACGGTGATGGGGACAGACAGGAGCCCGCACGGAGGTTGCGATGGACGGCTGTGATTCATTCAACCGATCTGATTGTGCTGATCGACGGCTGAGAGCGGCTTCACCAGGATTCGAACCAGAGCCATCCGCGTTATAAGCTGGCTCGCATGCCATAGCTACGTGCAGACAGGTTACGCGGAGGTACGGAACGGTACGAATTCTCCCTCGAATTGCTTCCCCCGCTTGCACTGATGCTACTTATGCCATAACAATTGAAACTGCGAAAGAGATTTCAAACGACTGAAATCGAGAAGAGGTGCGCGCAACGACAAGCCACCCGTCCTGCTCGATTTTGACTACCGAGCAATCCATTCTTCTCGAATCTACGGCCGCCATGACATGAACGATTCGTCCACGCGATCAGCCCCAGTCGCCTCGACGACTCCAATCGCGCAGAGCGCGCCTCGCGATAGGTCGCGAAGTGGCGCGAAAGCCTACGACGATATGAAATTCGGGCCTTGCGACAGCCTCGGACGGTCTGGCGTTAGGCGCGGCGTCGTCGCCAGGCGCGTGACAAGCCATGTTCAGATTCGGATGATGGTCACACCGAGGACCTAGGGAACGCCGTGGATGGGGAATCCTAGAGATTGCTTGCCATGTTTGCAGCTGCCTCCCATGAACAAATGCTCGGTTGGAGAATGCGAAGTGGCTTTGTTGAGAGTGGGTGTGATGATGATGATCGGTAGGGGCAATTTGAAGAACGGAGAGATTGTAGGCGGGAATTACATACGCGTTAATGTTCTATCTGGCATCCTGTAAAGTGGTGTGGTTCTGTTGGTGTGTAGTACACATATGTGTGCAGGGTTCAAACTGCGGTTTAGAGTTTTACAAAACTGCTTTTCCCGACTAGTCCACTCCCGTAACCTAAATCGGGTACAGATTCTCATTTGATCATCCAGCGAGCAGCGAATCAAACAGGAACTAGGCGATGAAAGCACCATGCCCACGCGCTGCAGGGATCTTTTTACGCGGCGCAGGGATCTTTTTACGCGGCGCTTTGGGGTTGCCAGAACCAGAATCAGTGATTTATGGCTGGTCAGGCACAGTACTGATGTGACTGCTAGTGGTCGGTGACTAAACGGTGGCAATTCCTCTTCAGTTCTTCCTAGTACTCAATCTCATCATACTAGGTACACCGAGACCCCTGCTAAGATAGATCGAATGGCATTCAGCAACAGCTACTCATCTGTAACCCTAAACTCGCGAATTCGATCCTTCCGTGTCGCATTCTCCCAGAGCTCCTCGACGCGGCGCGTACCGCGTCAGTCCGTGACGAAGGTCTCAAGCTCGTTGACACGTGTCACAACATCAGTGGTCTGTAGAGCTCGCACTAAACCCGATGCTATGACGGAAAGAGATATGAGTTTCCAACCTTCAGCATCACCCGGCAATGACCGAACAGGATCCGGCCAATCAGAAGCCAGTGCGGATCGGTGGTTGTCTAATCGCAGCCGTACATTCGGGCCTTCGGTGATCGTGGAGGTAACTCGGCTGGCGAAGAAGAGAGGAGCCATCAACCTGGGGGAAGGTAATCCCAAGGCTAGGTATTCTGAAAAAGAAGAACATTTTCAATTGTTTTTTGTTCAGAGGTGACGCCGCTATCAAAGACGTAAGGAGCCATTAATCTTAAAGAGAGATGCTCAAGGTTGCATATGCCCTCGGATTGTTAGTGGTGTGCCTTGATAAGTAACCGGGTTATGAAACGGCTTGAACCTAGTAGACTCTCTAAGACGTTTTAAGATCCATTAGTTGCATACGACGGTCTGTAGTATGACTAGTTGATGATGGCCTAAGAAACAGGAATGTTGATGACATCATGGGATGTGTGACCTCAATGTGCATGGCATGGCATGGCGTGGCACGGCATGGTATGGAACGGCATGGTATGGAACGGCATGGTATGAAATGGTATGGCATGGCATGGCATGGAATGGTATGGCATGGCATGGCATGAAATGGTATGGCATGGCATGGCATGAAATGGTATGGCATGGCATGGCATGGCTATGGTGGCACCATCTATTCAGGTTTCCCCGACTATGCTGCACCTTCAGCTCTCAAGGAAGCAGGGATGGCTGCCATTGCTGCTGACGTGAACCAATACGAGTGAGTGATCAATGCATCGCATGGCATGGCATGGCATGGCATGGCATGGCATGGCATGGCATGGCAAAAGACATCGCACCATCTGCTTCAGTGTTTCCTGACTATGCTGCTCCTCCAGTTCTCAAGGAAGCAGGGATGGCCGCCGTTGCTGCCGACGTGAACCAGTATGAGTGAGTGAGTGGTCAATGCATGGCATGGATTGGCTTGGTATGGCATGGCAAAAGGCATCGCACCATCTGCTTCAGGGTTCCCTGACTATGCTACACCTCCAGCTCTCGAGGATGCAGGGATTTTTGCCATCTCTCTCCCTCCCTTTCACTTCCCGCCACTCCCACAACAACCGCCCCCATCCCAGTCCATGCAACCCCACCGGCCGTGTGTTCCCACACGAGGAGCTCTCTCAGCTAGCATCCATCACCACCTCCTGGCAATAACAGACGAGGTGTGGTGTGGTAGAGCCCATTCACGCACCTGTTGCACCAGCCCTCTCCTCTTTCTCATCTCCCCCGTCCCTCTCGCCTCTCTCCCTCATCAACCTGCCCCAAACCCCAAACCCCAAACCCCAAACCCCAAACCCCACCCTACCCCCACTCCAGTCCATGCAACCCCACTGGCCATGTCTTTACCCACTCTGAGCTGACCCAGCTAGCAAAGTTCTGCTGCCATCACGACCTGCTGGCAATCACGGATGACGTGTACAGCGCTTTCACCTATGGCAGCGGCAGCACACCGCGCCACGTGTCGCTCGCTCAGTGGCCGGGCATGAAGGAGCGCTGCATCGTCACCTCGTCCATCTCTAAAACGTTCCACGTCACCGGTAGGTTGGTGGGTGGGTGGGTAAGTTGGTGTGTGGGTGGGTAGGTGGTTGGGGTGGTGGGTGTGTGGGTGGGTGGGATGGTGGGTGGGTGGGATGGGGTGGGATGGTGGGTGGGTGGAATGGGGTGGGTGGGTGGGGCATAACACCACCGCCCATGGCTGCATGACAATCTGCCCTTCCCTGCACCCCTCTCGTTCCCTCTTTTCTCCCTCATTTCCCCTCTTTTTCCCTCTTCTCTCCCTCTTTTCCCCTCTCATACCCTCTTTTTCACCTGCAGGTTGGCGAGTGGGATGGGCCATAGCCCCGCCGCCCATCACAGCAGCCATCAGCACCATCGATCCTTGTGCCCATCGTGTCCCTCTTCACTTCGCCTTTCATTCCCTCCTCTCATCCCCTCTCATCCCCTCTCGTTCCTTGCAGGTTGGCGAGTGGGATGGGCTATAGCCCCGCCGCCCATCGCTGCCGAACAATGCGTGCCTCCTCACTTTCCAGTCTATCCTCCTCTCTGCATTCCCTCCTCTCTTCTCTCCTCCTCTTCCAGGTTGGCGGGTGGGATGGACCATAGCCCCGCCGCCCATCGCAGCTGCCATCAGCACTGTCGTACGCTCCATAACAGTTCACTCCTCCTAACTCCCTACTTTTGGGGCAACCTCAAAAGTACGCTCCATAACAGTTCACTCCTCCTAACTCCCTACTTTTGGGGCAACCTCAAAAGTACGCTCCATAACAGTTCACTCCTCCTAACTCCCTACTTTTGGGGCAACCTCAAAAGTACGCTCCATAACAGTTCACTCCTCCTAACTCCCTACTTTTGGGGCAACCTCAAAAGTACGCTCCATAACAGTTCACTCCTCCTAACTCCCTACTTTTGGGGCAACCTCAAAAGTACGCTCCATAACAGTTCACTCCTCCTAACTCCCTACTTTTGGGGCAACCTCAAAAGTACGCTCCATAACAGTTCACTCCTCCTAACTCCCTACTTTTGGGGCAACCTCAAAAGTACGCTCCATAACAGTTCACTCCTCCTAACTCCCTACTTTTGGGGCAACCTCAAAAGTACGCTCCATAACAGTTCACTCCTCCTAACTCCCTACTTTTGGGGCAACCTCAAAAGTACGCTCCATAACAGTTCACTCCTCCTAACTCCCTACTTTTGGGGCAACCTCAAAAGTACGCTCCATAACAGTTCACTCCTCCTAACTCCCTACTTTTGGGGCAACCTCAAAAGTACGCTCCATAACAGTTCACTCCTCCTAACTCCCTACTTTTGGGGCAACCTCAAAAGTACGCTCCATAACAGTTCACTCCTCCTAACTCCCTACTTTTGGGGCAACCTCAAAAGTACGCTCCATAACAGTTCACTCCTCCTAACTCCCTACTTTTGGGGCATCCTCAAAAGTACGCTCCATAACAGTTCACTCCTCCTAACTCCCTACTTTTGGGGCATCCTCAATAGTACGCTCCATAACAGTTCACTCCTCCTAACTCCCTACTTTTGGGGCATCCTCAATAGTACGCTCCATAACAGTTCACTCCTCCTAACTCCCTACTTTTGGGGCATCCTCAATAGTACGCTCCATAACAGTTCACTCCTCCTAACTCCCTACTTTTGGGGCATCCTCAAAAGTACGCTCCATAACAGTTCACTCCTCCTAACTCCCTACTTTTGGGGCATCCTCAATAGTACGCTCCATAACAGTTCACTCCTCCTAACTCCCTACTTTTGGGGCAACCTCAAAAGTACGCTCCATAACAGTTCACTCCTCCTAACTCCCTACTTTTGGGGCAACCTCAAAAGTACGCTCCATAACAGTTCACTTTTCCTAACTCCCTACTTTTGGGGCAACCTCAAAAGTACGCTCCATAACAGTTCACTCCTCCTAACTCCCTACTTTTGGGGCAACCTCAATAGTACGCTCCATAACAGTTCACTCCTCCTAACTCCCTACTTTTGGGGCATCCTCAATAGTACGCTCCATAACAGTTCACTCCTCCTAACTCCCTACTTTTGGGGCATCCTCAAAAGTACGCTCCATAACAGTTCACTCCTCCTAACTCCCTACTTTTGGGGCATCCTCAATAGTACGCTCCATAACAGTTCACTCCTCCTAACTCCCTACTTTTGGGGCATCCTCAATAGTACGCTCCATAACAGTTCACTCCTCCTAACTCCCTACTTTTGGGGCATCCTCAATAGTACGCTCCATAACAGTTCACTCCTCCTAACTCCCTACTTTTGGGGCATCCTCAAAAGTACGCTCCATAACAGTTCACTCCTCCTAACTCCCTACTTTTGGGGCATCCTCAATAGTACGCTCCATAACAGTTCACTCCTCCTAACTCCCTACTTTTGGGGCAACCTCAAAAGTACGCTCCATAACAGTTCACTCCTCCTAACTCCCTACTTTTGGGGCAACCTCAAAAGTACGCTCCATAACAGTTCACTTTTCCTAACTCCCTACTTTTGGGGCAACCTCAAAAGTACGCTCCATAACAGTTCACTCCTCCTAACTCCCTACTTTTGGGGCAACCTCAAAAGTACGCTCCATAACAGTTCACTCCTCCTAACTCCCTACTTTTGGGGCAACCTCAAAAGTACGCTCCATAACAGTTCACTCCTCCTAACTCCCTACTTTTGGGGCAAGCTCAAAAGTACGCTCCATAACAGTTCACTCCTCCTAACTCCCTACTTTTGGGGCATCCTCAAAAGTACGCTCCATAACAGTTCACTCCTCCTAACTCCCTACTTTTGGGGCATCCTCAATAGTACGCTCCATAACAGTTCACTCCTCCTAACTCCCTACTTTTGGGCATCCTCAATAGTACGCTCCATAACAGTTCACTCCTCCTAACTCCCTACTTTTGGGGCATCCTCAATAGTACGCTCCATAACAGTTCACTCCTCCTAACTCCCTACTTTTGGGGCAACCTCAAAAGTACGCTCCATAACAGTTCACTCCTCCTAACTCCCTACTTTTGGGGCAACCTCAAAAGTACGCTCCATAACAGTTCACTCCTCCTAACTCCCTACTTTTGGGGCAACCTCAAAAGTACGCTCCATAACAGTTCACTCCTCCTAACTCCCTACTTTTGGGGCAACCTCAAAAGTACGCTCCATAACAGTTCACTCCTCCTAACTCCCTACTTTTGGGGCAACCTCAAAAGTACGCTCCATAACAGTTCACTCCTCCTAACTCCCTACTTTTGGGGCAACCTCAAAAGTACGCTCCATAACAGTTCACTCCTCCTAACTCCCTACTTTTGGGGCAACCTCAAAAGTACGCTCCATAACAGTTCACTCCTCCTAACTCCCTACTTTTGGGGCAACCTCAAAAGTACGCTCCATAACAGTTCACTCCTCCTAACTCCCTACTTTTGGGGCATCCTCAAAAGTATGCTCCATAACAGTTCACTCCTCCTAACTCCCTACTTTTGGGGCATCCTCAATAGTACGCTCCATAACAGTTCACTCCTCCTAACTCCCTACTTTTGGGGCAACCTCAAAAGTACGCTCCATAACAGTTCACTCCTCCTAACTCCCTACTTTTGGGGCAACCTCAAAAGTACGCTCCATAACAGTTCACTCCTCCTAACTCCCTACTTTTGGGGCAACCTCAAAAGTACGCTCCATAACAGTTCACTCCTCCTAACTCCCTACTTTTGGGGCAACCTCAAAAGTACGCTCCATAACAGTTCACTCCTCCTAACTCCCTACTTTTGGGGCAACCTCAAAAGTACGCTCCATAACAGTTCACTCCTCCTAACTCCCTACTTTTGGGGCAACCTCAAAAGTACGCTCCATAACAGTTCACTCCTCCTAACTCCCTACTTTTGGGGCAACCTCAAAAGTACGCTCCATAACAGTTCACTCCTCCTAACTCCCTACTTTTGGGGCAACCTCAAAAGTACGCTCCATAACAGTTCACTCCTCCTAACTCCCTACTTTTGGGGCAACCTCAAAAGTACGCTCCATAACAGTTCACTCCTCCTAACTCCCTACTTTTGGGGCAACCTCAAAAGTACGCTCCATAACAGTTCACTCCTCCTAACTCCCTACTTTTGGGGCATCCTCAAAAGTATGCTCCATAACAGTTCACTCCTCCTAACTCCCTACTTTTGGGGCATCCTCAATAGTACGCTCCATAACAGTTCACTCCTCCTAACTCCCTACTTTTGGGGCAACCTCAAAAGTACGCTCCATAACAGTTCACTCCTCCTAACTCCCTACTTTTGGGGCAACCTCAAAAGTACGCTCCATAACAGTTCACTCCTCCTAACTCCCTACTTTTGGGGCAACCTCAAAAGTACGCTCCATAACAGTTCACTCCTCCTAACTCCCTACTTTTGGGGCAACCTCAAAAGTACGCTCCATAACAGTTCACTCCTCCTAACTCCCTACTTTTGGGGCAACCTCAAAAGTACGCTCCATAACAGTTCACTCCTCCTAACTCCCTACTTTTGGGGCAACCTCAAAAGTACGCTCCATAACAGTTCACTCCTCCTAACTCCCTACTTTTGGGGCATCCTCAATAGTACGCTCCATAACAGTTCACTCCTCCTAACTCCCTACTTTTGGGGCAACCTCAAAAGTACGCTCCATAACAGTTCACTCCTCCTAACTCCCTACTTTTGGGGCAACCTCAAAAGTACGCTCCATAACAGTTCACTCCTCCTAACTCCCTACTTTTGGGGCAACCTCAAAAGTACGCTCCATAACAGTTCACTCCTCCTAACTCCCTACTTTTGGGGCATCCTCAAAAGTACGCTCCATAACAGTTCACTCCTCCTAACTCCCTACTTTTGGGGCATCCTCAATAGTACGCTCCATAACAGTTCACTCCTCCTAACTCCCTACTTTTGGGGCAACCTCAAAAGTACGCTCCATAACAGTTCACTCCTCCTAACTCCCTACTTTTGGGGCAACCTCAAAAGTACGCTCCATAACAGTTCACTCCTCCTAACTCCCTACTTTTGGGGCAACCTCAAAAGTACGCTCCATAACAGTTCACTCCTCCTAACTCCCTACTTTTGGGGCAACCTCAAAAGTACGCTCCATAACAGTTCACTCCTCCTAACTCCCTACTTTTGGGGCATCCTCAATAGTACGCTCCATAACAGTTCACTCCTCCTAACTCCCTACTTTTGGGGCATCCTCAATAGTACGCTCCATAACAGTTCACTCCTCCTAACTCCCTACTTTTGGGGCAACCTCAAAAGTACGCTCCATAACAGTTCACTCCTCCTAACTCCCTACTTTTGGGGCAACCTCAAAAGTACGCTCCATAACAGTTCACTCCTCCTAACTCCCTACTTTTGGGGCAACCTCAAAAGTACGCTCCATAACAGTTCACTCCTCCTAACTCCCTACTTTTGGGGCAACCTCAAAAGTACGCTCCATAACAGTTCACTCCTCCTAACTCCCTACTTTTGGGGCAACCTCAAAAGTACGCTCCATAACAGTTCACTCCTCCTAACTCCCTACTTTTGGGGCAACCTCAAAAGTACGCTCCATAACAGTTCACTCCTCCTAACTCCCTACTTTTGGGGCAACCTCAAAAGTACGCTCCATAACAGTTCACTCCTCCTAACTCCCTACTTTTGGGGCAACCTCAAAAGTACGCTCCATAACAGTTCACTCCTCCTAACTCCCTACTTTTGGGGCAACCTCAAAAGTACGCTCCATAACAGTTCACTCCTCCTAACTCCCTACTTTTGGGGCAACCTCAAAAGTACGCTCCATAACAGTTCACTCCTCCTAACTCCCTACTTTTGGGGCAACCTCAAAAGTACGCTCCATAACAGTTCACTCCTCCTAACTCCCTACTTTTGGGGCAACCTCAAAAGTACGCTCCATTACAGTTCACTCCTCCTAACTCCCTACTTTTGGGGCAACCTCAAAAGTACGCTCCATAACAGTTCACTCCTCCTAACTCCCTACTTTTGGGGCATCCTCAAAAGTACGCTCCATAACAGTTCACTCCTCCTAACTCCCTACTTTTGGGGCATCCTCAATAGTACGCTCCATAACAGTTCACTCCTCCTAACTCCCTACTTTTGGGGCATCCTCTATAGTACGCTCCATAACATTTCACTCCTCCTAACTCCCTACTTTTGGGGCATCCTCAATAGTACGCTCCATAACAGTTCACTCCTCCTAACTCCCTACTTTTGGGGCATCCTCAAAAGTACGCTCCATAACAGTTCACTCCTCCTAACTCCCTACTTTTGGGGCATCCTCAAAAGTACGCTCCATAACAGTTCACTCCTCCTAACTCCCTACTTTTGGGGCATCCTCAATAGTACGCTCCATAACAGTTCACTCCTCCTAACTCCCTACTTTTGGGGCAACCTCAAAAGTACGCTCCATAACAGTTCACTCCTCCTAACTCCCCGATCTTCTCCCCCTTCTAGGTTGGCATGTAGGGTGGGCCATAGCCCGGCCCCCATCGCTGCAGCCATCAGCACCATCAGTGCCAAGCTCATCGTTCCCCTCTTCTCTTCTCTTGCCTCTTATTCCCTCCTCTCTTCCCTCCTTTCCCTTTTCATTCCCTCTTTTCCTTGCAGGTTGGCGGGTGGGATGGGCCATAGCCCCACCGCACATCGCAGCAGCCATCAGCACCATCAGCGCCAGTGGAAAGTCAAAGCATTCACTCTCCATTATCTCTTCTTTTTTCTTCACTCCCCCTTCAGGTTGGCGGGTGGGGTGGGCCATAGCCCCAGCCCCCATCGCAGCAGCCATCAGCACCATCAGCGCCAAGCTCATCGACACTCCTCCGGCCCCTTTCCAGGAAGCTTCCCGGGCTGCTCTGAGCCTACCGTCATCCTACTACACTCAATTAAGAGAGGTATAATCTCGTCCACTCTCCTTCTGAAGGGCCTTGGAACGAGGGGCCTTAAGAGATAAGCTGATCCGTGCCTGCCATGGTGGACTTTCATGTGTGCTTGGCTTTTCTCTCCATCCCATCTCCAGGACTCCACGCTTCAGCTCTACCTGGCAGCAGGAATGTTGCTAGATTTTCATTTTGAGGCGCCTCAAAAGTAGACTCCTGGACTCCACATGTCAGCTTTACCTGGCAGCGGAAATGCTGCTAGAAGCACATTTGGTTCTCCCCTGAGTGATTCTCTTCTGTTCTGTGCTCGTCTTTTCTCCTCGATCCATCCATAACCAGGACTTTCATGTGAGACGTCTCAAAAAATCTATGTGAGACGTCTAAAACAATCTATGTGAGACGTCTCAAAAAATCTATGTGAGACGTCTCGAAAAATCTATGGGTTGAGACGTCTCAAAAAACTATTTTGTACACGTGGCTCGTCTTTTCTCCTCAATCCATCCATGACTGGGACTACACACACATGGCAGTGGCCATGCTGCTAGAAGCAGGGCTGGAGGTGCCTCTTGTGTGACTTTTGTGCTCGTTTTTTCTCCTCATCCCATCGCATCACCAGGACTACACACACAAGCGGGACACGGCACTGGCCATGCTTCTGTAACTCCTCCCTTTACCCTTCATCCTTAACTTTCACTCTTCCATTATTTACCCTTCATCCTTAACTTTCACTCTTCCATTATTTACCCTTCATCCTTAACTTTCACTCTTCCATTATTTACCCTTCATCCTTAACTTTCACTCTTCCATTATTTACCCTTCATCCTTAACTTTCACTCTTCCATTATTCACCCATTATCCACACACCAGAACTACACCCTCAAGCGGGACACAGCAGTGGCCATGTTGCTGGAAGCGGGGCTGGAAGTGCCTCTTGTGCTGGAGGGGTCCGTGTTTGTGTTCTCGTTCACTCACATCCTGGGGTCATGGGCTTTCGTTCGTGTGTTTGTGTTCGCCCGCATTCCATGGAGATGTGCTTGAATGTGTCACCTTCCTCTCACCTCCACCCCGCCCTCAGGACTGCATTTGAAGTGCCTCAAACGTTCGCCTGCATTCTATGGAGATGTGCTTGAATGTGTCACCCTCCTCTCACCTCCACCCCACCCTCAGGACTGCATTTGAAGTGCCTCAAACGTTCGTTCGTGTGTTTGTGTTCGCCCGCATTCTATGGAGATGTGCTTGAATGTGTCACCCTCCTCTCACCTCCACCCCACCCTCAGGACTACACGCGCAAGCGGGACACAGCAGTGGCCATGCTGCTAGAGGCGGGGCTGGAGGTGCCTCTTCTGTGACTTTCGTCTGTGCTTGCATCTTCTCCCCTTCTCCCCATCCCATTACCAGGACTACACACACAAGCGGGACACTGCAGTGGCTATGCTGCTGGAAGCGGGGTTGGAGGTGCCACCACATCCATCGCGCCAAATCAGACGGCTCGGCTGGTAACCCGCTATCCGGCCCTTCTCCTCGACAATTCCCAACCTCAACGGTAGGCCAGTCCGGTAGGGCAACCCTTCGTTCACTTGTTATCGTTACCATCTTGTTTCACTAATTGAAACGTTGCTCATACCGTAACTGTGCTCGTTGTATTCATTTTCTTCGAACGTACAATACTCGATCGCTCTCTCAATTGCACTCGTAAGACATAGTATTCAGAGTCACGTTCTTTTCGAACCGTGCACACCTTCGCTTCCAAATCATTCATTATTTTCTTTGGGGGTTGATGTCCCTCCCTCAGCGCCCAGTACTGCTGCTCGAGTGCTCTCTCGTAAGCACGCACAGCCATGAGTTATCACACCAGCCTGCTACGTCCAAACACTGTAGCCAATGCTTCCGCCGGTGCGAAGGTGTTACGAGTGCAATGAATCGAGGTAGCGAGGATTGCACTAAGTTGTCAAATGAGTACAAAATATGAGCGAAGGCATGAGCGAACATTTATATGCAAAACATGCAAACGGTAACGCGGTGCGTGCGAGCTAGCTAGTGCTAGGCTGGCATCGAGGCTCGGGCTAGTCCCGAAGCGTAGGGCGACACGGCTGGGCCAGCGGTGCATGGTTTGGTGAAACAGTGCGCGCAAAGTTGGCGAAGCCCCGTTAGCGGTAACGGGCGAACAACGGCTGCTGCTATACGTGATGTTGCAGGTCGCGGTAAGGAATGTCGAGAAAATTCCTTACACTACCTCCCCCCCATCAAGAAGGCCCCTCTGCTACGCGAGTGCGTGTATATCGCGGAAACCCCGGCTCCTCAGATACACTTGCAGGGCAGGGTGGTTTTCAATGTTGGCCAGGGGCACCCAGCTATCCTCAGTTGGCATGCGGTCCTTCCAGTGAACGAGGAACTCGATCCTCTTGATGCCTGTGGGGTGTCGAATCCGATGGCTCAGACTTTTTTCGGGCTCGATGATCGGCTCCGATGCAGGGCGAGTCATGGATGACGATCGGTGACGAGGCAATTGACGTGGAATGATGGGCTGATGTACCAGTCTGTCGGCAACAGTAAGTGGGCAGTAACTGGGGTGATCATGTGGCTGATTTGGAATGGTCCACAGTAGCGCGGTCGTAATTTCGGCACGACGGGCAGTCTTAAGTTCTGCGTATCGAGCAGTACGTAATCTCCTGACTGGTACGTGACTGGGCGGCGGTGGCGGTCAGCGTTGCGTTTTGCGATGACGCTGGCTTTTTTAATTGCTTCGGCGGCTCTGGTGCGGGCAGCTTGCAGAATCTCGGCGAATTGCTGTGCGAGTGGTGTTGGGTTGTCCGGACTCGGCGTCATGGGCACTGTAGGGTTTTGCCCGTAGTTCAGGTACAACGCGGACTGCTGCGTCGTCGCTGACGTGGCGTTGTTGTAGGCGAACTCGATCAGCGACAGCTGCTACTCCCAAGTTGTCGGGTCGTCGCACGTGGCCCGGATCAATTGCTCCATCGTCTAATTGGTCCGCTCCGTTTGACCGTCGGTCTCGGGGTGGTACGATGAACTGAACTGTAGCCTGGTCCCGAAATGCTCCCAGAGGTTCTTCCAGAAGTTGCTGGTGAACTTCGTATCGCGGTCGCTAATGATCGCGGCTGGTATCCCGTGTAGTTGAACGACGGCTGCGATGAACAGACGAGCGGTTTCTTCGGCTGAGATCGATTTCCAACACGCAGCGAAGTGAGCCATTTTCGTCACTATATCAACGCGACCATAATCGCGTCGTTACCCCCAGGGTTCGAAGGTAACCATGTGATGAAATCTATAGTAACCCGCTGCAGTTGCCGTTGAGTTTTTTCTACCCCAAAATGTCCCTAGATAATTCCGTCGTGTGCCTCCTGCAGTAATAATTCCCACAGTAGTGAATACGCAGGTACCCAAATGTGATTGGTGCCTATCTTTACATAATAGACTCCCTTAGCTTTTGCCAGTTGCTGTGAATTTCCAGTCGTGAAAAATGGGTCGGTACTGTATTCGTGGGTGAATAGGCCTGTTAACAGCGGGTTGGTTTGGGTGAGTAGGATGGCGTGGAGTTGGGCGGTAGGACGTGTGAGTGCGTCGGCGATGTTTGATGCTGTCAAATGTTATATCTGCTACAGTTTGTTTAGGCTGTAGTGGGGTAGTTACTATGGGGTACAGTAAGTTTAGGGTTTCCTACTTGTACCCAACTCTTTCCTAGTGCAATCACTCTTGTTCATTCTGACATGGTATCACGAGCCTAGGTTGCCACCTAGGACCGCTTACTACTACGGGCCCACTATTCCGCTAGAAGAGCCCTCGTGCGCCCTACCTTACGTGCGCCCTTGTGCGCCTTTCTCTGCTCGTGCGCCCTCGTGCACCCTTTTTTTTCTGCTAGTGCGCCCTCGCGCGCCCCGCCCTTCGTTCTGCCTGCGCTCCGTCCTGCAGCCCTCGCGCTGCCTCCTGTTGCCCTAGGCCAGTGCGCCGCCCCTGCAAGCTAGTAGGGCCCTCGAGCCGCCCCTGCAGGTCCGTCAGGCCCCCGAGCCGCCTCTGCAGGCCCGTCAGGCCCCTGAGCCGCCTCTGCAGGCCCGTCAGGCCCGAGAGCCGCCCCTGCAGGCCCGTCAGGTCGGCGCGCTGCCCCTGCAGGACCACGCCGCCCGAGCGCAGCCTCTGCCCGACCGCGCGCCGCCCCTGCAGGCCCTCGCCGCCCGAACGCAGCCTCTGCAGGCCCGTCAGGTGCCGATCAAGCTGTCTACTAGTGCCGAGGGAGCCTGTCACCTGTGTGTGCTGCCTGACCCCGGTATCCAGTCTGCTGCTCCAGGTGCCGGTGAGGCTGCCGCTCTAGGTGCTAGTGCGTCTGCTGCCCCTGGTCCTGGTGAGGCTGCTGCTCTAGGTGCAGGTGTGTCTGCTGCTTCAGGTGCTTGTGAGTCTGCACCTACATGTACTGCGTCTACTGAGGCATTGCACACCTTCACACTGGACTCAGGTGCTTCCCGCTGTTTCTTTCGCGACCGCACTGCCCTCGAGCAGCTCCCTAGGCCGGTTGCTGTCTCCCTGGCTGACCCCTCCGGGGGTCCGGTCCTTGCGACCTCCACCACTGCCCTCCCTTGTCCTGCTGTCCCGTCCGGCACACTGTCGGGCCTTTACCTCCCCTCGTTCTCTACGAACTTGGTGGCGGGTTCTGCGCTCCAGGACGCGGGTGTTCACCAGTTCATCCCTGCCTACGAGCGTGTGACACACTGCACGTGTGCCCAGACGGGTCGTCACCTGGCTACCTTCACTCGGCAGCCGGGGTCGGACTTGTACACACTGACCACTGAGTCCCCTCAGGTAGCGGCGTCTGCGTCTGCGTGAGGTCAGTTGTCCGCCCCCTGCTCGTGTCGCACCCTGTCACACTGGACGGTCCTCTGGCACCACCCCCTTGGGCACCCTTCGATGCAGCGCCTTCGTGGCATGCACTCTCGTTTCCTTGTCTCTGGTCTCCCCAGGTCACTGCCTCCCCTGCCTCCGTCCCCTGCCCCTCCTTGCCTTCCCTG